TAAAGAAATGAATGATTGAATAATACATGGCATGAAAAAAAGAGGAAAAGGGAAATGTTATAGATTTAAAGAGACTTAAAAGCCATACCAACCAATCAATGTGTAAACTTAAGTTATTTTTTAAATAATTTAAATAACTTGTCAGGCATGGTGGCAAACACCTGTAATCCCAGCACTCAAGAAGCTGAGGCAGAAGGATTGCCCTGAGTTGGAGGCCAGCCTGGGCTCCATAGTGAGTTCAAGGCCAGCCTGAACTACATAGCAAGACCCTATCTCAAAAAAATTTTTTTCTTTTTTTTCTTTGTTCAATCTGAAGATTGGCCTTAGGGCCTTCATACTGATCTATATCCCCAGCCAATTTTTATTTTGAGACAGGGTCTTGCTAAGTCACTAAGTTACTCAGAGTGGGCTCAAACTTGTGATCCTCTTTTCACAGCCTCCTGGAGTGCTGGGATTACATGCATGCATCACCATGCCTGCCATGTAAACCTAACTTGAACAAATCATCTGTATTAAAGAAATGTTTTAGGGCTGGGGATGTAACTCAGTGGCACTGTGCCTGCCTGGCAAGCGCAAGGTCCCAAGTTCGATCCCCAGTACCACACATACACACACAAAAATGTTTTGATGAGCTAATCTGGGAAAATTAGAAATAGACTGAGTATTATATAAGGAATTGCTAATTTGGGGTATAGGTGAAAGTAGTACCATGTGTAGATTTTGAAGTTCTAATCTGTTAATAGAGATATTCTCTGAAGTATTTACAGGTGAAATGATAAAACATCTATGATTTTTCTTCACACATTCCAGCAAAAGACAAAAAACAAAAGAGCCGAAAGAAGTGGGAGAGATGAAACAAGAATGACAGAACCTTGCTGGTTTTTGAAGCTGAGCAATGAATACACAGTGTTTGTTTTACTCTTCTACATCCTTTAGAGTATTTGGAGTTTTCCATAATGAGATATTTAAGGCCAAGCTAATGAGTATGGACTTTACTATGTCTCCTTGGAATTTGTGAAGTGTCTGGCATAAGGACATGGGAAGGACTACGAGAGACCAGAAAGCTCAGACTAGTAACAGTGGACTAGACCTTGATGAAGATGGTGGTCAGGAGCATGGAACTGTTTCTGAGAACTGAGAAAGTAATGTCAAAAGAGGAACTTTGGTGGGCTGGCAGTACAGAAGTGAATCAGGTGCTTGACAGGGAAACCTCCCCTTCTTACTCTTTAGTCAGTAGCAGTTCTTGTCCTGAAACTCCTTCACTGGGGACTGTGAGGACAAGGAGAGAGAAAAGCAATCTCCACCAAGAAGGACCTGAACCAGGTTTTTGCACTAGCTAATGTGGGAAATGTACTAGCCCAGTGAGGAAATGGAGAGTTTCAAGGTGGTTTTTGTGTGTGTGTGTGGGGGGGGGGTTGTTTTCATGAGGAATTTGTCTTGTGGTTTCATTGTGAGATTCATAGGTACAATGATTCATTTTGATCATTTTTTTCTATTTTCACTTGCACAGTGGTGAAAATCTTAGTGATCCTGAATCACTAATATAATTTAAGATTAAGATTATATTATTCATTTGTGAAATTGAACACTTTACAAGGATATATGTAGAGTTATTAAATGAATTAAAATGATATGGTCTAGGGAAACAAAACTGTAATCTATGGCAAATTAATGAAAATTTAGATTTAAATATATAGCTTTGATTTGTTAGTAGCAAAAATATTAAAAACTTCAGATCCAGTAGTAGCAATTGGTGAAGCTTAGAGAGAAATGGTCATTCTTCAGCCCTCTTCTCATTACTTCACACAGGAAATATTAAAAGAATTTGATGTAACTCTATTTATAGCCACCCTAGAGTATAATTTCCTGATCAACTTTGCTTTCTTCCATTACAAATTATATACTCTAAGAATAGGCCACTTCATATGTTTAACATGCTTTCTTTCCTGTCTCGGTTCAACACCGCATCTACAGAGCACTGAAGCTGAGGTGGGGGACAGAAATAAGAAATGTTGCTTATTGAGTGGGAAAAGAATATTGGAACCCAGTGTATCCTTTAGCCTTATTACTCTGGAGATTCCCTAGCAGGACTTTTTGCTCCCTCTACCCAAACTGACATCCATACCCTAACTTACACAATCAGAAAGAAGTGTTGTGTTTTTGTTACTGTTGGGAGTTTTTTTGTTTGTTTTTTGTTTTTGCCTTTCTGAAGATCAAATTCAGGGCCTCTGGCATACTAGGCAAATGCTCTCCCACTGAGCTACATCTCTACCTCAAATAAGTGAGGTTTTGGTCAGGTTTGCTGCTGTGTTTGAGGCTTAATTAAAAGATAGACATCTGGCTGGACAGGGTAGTACATAGCTGTGATCCCAGCACTTCGGGGTGCTGAAGCAGGAGGATTGCAAGTTTAAACCTTGCCTGGGCGATTTAGTGACTGTGTTAGTTACTTTTTCTCATTGCTGAGAGAAAATACTCAGTACCCAAAGTTAAAGGAGGAAAGGTTTATTTGGCTCAAAGTTTGTAGAGGTTTCAGTCCATAATTGGCTGGCTCCAAGGCAGGCTGGCATGGCAGACAGGCATTGCAGAGGAGAGACAGTTCATGGTGGGCAAAAAGTAACAAAGCAAACAAGCAAGCCACAAACTACAAGTAACTAGCAGCAAGCCTCTTTCTGTCCCTAATATTGTACCCAGGCTACCTGCCCTTAGGACAGATAGCACTCACACCCTTAATCCTAGCCCCCTTAATCCTAGCATTGCATCATGAATCAATTTCATACTCTAGATCCAGCCACCTCTGAAAAAGCCCCACTTATGACAACATGAGGCTTTGGGAGGAAATTTAGACACAAGCCATAACAGTGACTTGGCAGATCCTATCCCAAAATTAAAAAAAAAAAAAAAAGACTGGATGTAGGTTAGTGTTCAGTGCTAAGGTCCTGGGTTCAATCCCCAGTGCTAGAAAAATAAATAAATGAGACTTCTAACTCATGGTAGTTGCTGTAAAAAGCTCTCGGGGAAGTAAGAGAAGACAAAATTTCTAAAAGCAAGAGAGATGTTTTTTCTTTTACTCAGGGAATTATAGCTGAGCTGCTGTGTCACAGGAGGGACCAGGAAAGGGCACATGGTCATAAACCTTTATAAGCCCTATTATGGAGAAGGCTGAGCTGTCATCCGTCCTGACGGAAATGAGAAGTGGAGAGGCGGCAGCAAGGGTGTCTAACAGCACTGCCTCTCTACTGCATTGTCAGAGAGAAAGATAACTGAGAATAGGCATCCATTATCTCTTTTTACAAAAGGATTAGTGTGGGTTGCAAGAAATTAATGGCTTTTGAGTTACCACGGAAATACTAATGAATATCAGGACTAGAGATGGAAAGCCGGTAAAATAGGCTTTTTCTCTGCCTCATTTCTCTCCTTTTCTCTTCGCTTGCTATTTTAAGATTGAAATCTTATTCTTTTTTTTTTTTTCTGTAGCCAAAAGCAAAAATCCTGCCCTCTAGGAGTGTGATTTGTCTTGTTTAGGGAATGACTTTATTAGTTTTTGACTATCTCCAATGTATGTCAGCAAAGACATTGACAAACATCTCAGAAAGAAAAATCTCTACCAGGGAAGAGTGTTCACTTCTGCATGGATATCATTTTCATATCTGATAATCTCAGGAGGTCTCTCAAGCGATAGTCCCATTTTATTAAAATACTAAACTAGAGTTGGGTCTGGAGATACAGGCCTGTAATCCCAGCATTCTGAGAGGCTAAGGCAGGAGGTTCACAAGTTTGCACCCAGCTTGAGCAAAGTAGCAATTTAGTGAGACCATGTCTCAAAATTTTAAAAAAGATAGGTAGAAGGATGGATGGGCTTGGGATGTAGCTTAGTACAGAGGGCCTGGGTTTAATTCCAAAAAACAAAAAACCTAAACTGACATATGTCATAGCTCATTGTGGATTAAAGATGGCATGACTAGATAAACTTGTGAAACGGGAAGGGAATTATACCTACTATGTGTTGAACATTGTGTTAGGAGCTTTATTTCTAATTTAACAAGTACTTTTAAAGCACCTATTATACATCAGGCACTATACTATGTGCTATGACATTATAGATGTAAAGAAAGCTTACTGTTCTATGGAAAAGATTGACTTTTTAAAACTAACTTCAAAACTTGTTTGGACATTTAAATAAACTACTATAATGCAGTCTGATAAGAGCCTATGATAGAGGAATAATATAGTTGGGATACCTGATATTGACTCAGGGATATATGTATACAGGTGAGGTGTGGGTGCGGCTGGGGGATTTGGGACAGACATACTTTCTGGAGGAAGGTAAATATGCAGTCAGTGGTTGAAGAAGGAAGGAGCATTATAAGCTAAGGGAATAGTATACTAAGCCCATTCAGGCTCAGAGAGAAAACTGCCATTTAAACAGTGAGCTGGTGGGAGCAATCCTAGTTACTAGACAAAGGCTCATGAACTGGCTCCAGGTTCTTATGTGCCTGTCTGAGAAACCAGTTTGTGAGCAACCTATTTCATGCTCTTTTTCACTGACTCTTTCTAGCTTCACCAACCTAAGGAAAGAACTTGGCAGGGAATTATGTCATGGGGCAGAAGGAGCCTTCTCTTTTGTATATTCAGTGCTCTGCAGAATGTTACTTAGAAGAAAGAAATCCTGGCAAAGTGTGATTGGGTCCTAGATCCACAGGGCATACCTACTCATAGGTATTCAGTATTTCTTTTTTTGCACAGACATCCACTAGTCATGTTGACCTTGCACACCCCATACTTACTCTTGCACATATTCACCATCACTCCAGTTCAGTTTTTTAGCTGGGAGATTTTTCCTTAGCTACATCTTGCCGATTAGGTACCATCTTGGAATTTTACTACTTCTATTTTGTTTGGTTTGAACCAGAAAGATGTCAACCTCTGCTCTGATTGGTTTCTTGCATCTGCCCTCTCATAAGTAATTAATACTTTGCTTCTTCTTTTTTTTTTTTTTTTAGAACATAAACAAACATTCCCAAACATTCTGAAGAAGGGTTACCTGGAGATTAGGAAGGACCACGACAGTTATTGGCAAAGCTGTTACGCAGAACTCTCACCCTATAACTTATACTTCTACAGTCTTGACAGCAGTGGGAATCAAAACCTCTGTGCCACGTACCAGCTTTCACACTTCCAGAGCATATCTGTCTTGGGTCACCTTGAGGCCAGGATGGTGGATACTGTCCTCTGTGACAACACTCAGCTGCAGCTAAAGGCAGAGTCGCCGTGGGAGGCTTTGGACTGGGGGCAAAAGCTCTGGGAGGTCGTGCACACTGCTGTGCCTGGTTACGTAGGACGGCAGGATGAGCTGGCAAACTCACCAGGGCTCAGCCATCATGTTGACTGTACGCAGAATCATTGTTTACAGAAGAAAGCCAATGGGCTGCTACCACCATCCCCTGTCTTGGATAGCTCCAAGCAGTACCAAAACATCCTCAAATCAGGCACACTCTACCGACTGACTGTCCAGAATAACTGGAAGGCATTTATGTTTGTGCTAAGCAAAGCCTACCTTATGGCCTTTCAGCCTGGCAAGCTAGATGAGGATCCCTTGTTGAGCTATAACGTAGATGTGTGTCTGGCTGTCCAGATAGACCACCTGGATGGCTGTGACTCTTGCTTTCAAGTCATTTTTCCCCAGGATGTCCTCCGCCTCCGAGCTGAGACCCGCCAGAGAGCTCAGGAGTGGATGGAGGCTCTGAAGACAGCTGCCAATGCAGCGAGGAGTTCAGAGCAAAACCTGCAAGTCACACTGAGGAGTAAACCCAAGGATCAGATGGGTGGGCACGAACTCAGAAAGAACAAACGTCAGTCCGTGACCACCAGCTTCCTGAGCATCCTGACAACTTTGTCTTTGGAGCGAGGACTCACTGCTCAAAGTTTCAAATGTGCAGGTATGGAGCAAGTTTTCAGCATAAAGCTCATTAAAGAGAAATCCTGAATACCATAATTGGAATTCACTTTTTAAATTACCTCACTAAGAGTCTTAGAAACTCTGTTTACAAAAAGCATCTCTCCTCCAATGTGTTTGTTATATTAAAAAAATCTGTCCCTACTTAACACCGCTCATACCATATTGGTAAAGTAAATAGAAGTAGATATGATACTTCTTACTGAATCAAAATGATTTGGCTAAGGCCTAAGCCAACTGGAATTTGGACTTCCTAAATTATCTGTGAGTCCATTTCCTGTCCTGGGACTGTGTTGAGATACAACTGGGTCCAAAGCTGACTGCTAACACTCCTCAGGAAAGGCAAATGCTGGTAGTCGATAGCTGCTGTTGATCATGACCTTGTCAAGTCCTGTTAAGGTGGAATCTAGAAAGTCAGCATTGACAGAAAGTGTGCAGGTGGCTAAAAGAACAGTGGAGAATTATTTTTCAAGCGACTCCTGGGTCTCCATGGGCCTGTGTCTCATCACCAGGAAGTGCAGAGTTTCTGGGACTGCTGTGTAAGGGTGAGACACAAAGTTCAGGAGCAGTAATCTTATTATGTCTGAAAACCTTATTGCTGCTTCTTTCCTCTCTACTCTCCATTCTTCCTACCTTCCTCCAAGCAGTAAAATAGAAAAAAATTACTACACCAGATCTATATCTACAATAAACTAAATCAAAATTATTTTCCTTTCACTGAACCCCACAATTTGGGACAATAAATTTTTTGCCATAAAGATAGTTTTAAAACCTGATTGGGAAGGTTTTAATTCAAATGTATCAGACTTAAGTATATTGTTTAGAAATGAACAAAAAGGGCAGGGCGTATAGCTCAGTGGTTCCACCGCCTGCCTCACAAGTGCAGGGTCCTAAGTTTGATCCCCAGTACCAAAAAACAAACAAACAAAAAGAACAAGAAGCACAGCCTCAGCCAACACAAAGTTTTGTTTTATTCTTTCTCCTGCATTGAAAAAAGCCAGATGGTGGTGAAAAACCACATTCTAAATTTAGGTTAGTTATGATGATGACTTTTTCTATTGAAAAATAATTTACTTAAAGGGAAGGATTATGTGAATCACTCTTGCTTTGCCCTCAGGGCCTCAGTGACTATTGAGCAGAAATCTGCAAAGCTTGTTTAGAGAAAAGAGCCAGTTAAACCATAGCGGGTTGCCAGAATATAGTTATGAGTGTGACAGTCCTTGTGTCAAGTTAGACAGCTACTTTTAGAAAATGGTTTTGAAATAAGGACACACTCATTTTGGCACAGTTTAAACATTTTTGGCATTCCAGTGTCTTCTTATACTGGTACATGTATTATGTTTCAAAGTTCAGGCATTCAATATAATTTGTTAACTGCTAACTCTGAAATTACAATATACTTCTATGGCATTAGATTTCTGATAGGATTAACAAATCTGTTACGTTTTGGAATAAGGGAAAACATTTATCATTTGCCCAGAAACTGAGTTTTCAAGGTGGACACTGGAGTACCTGAATCAGGCAACATTATACCAAAAGTGTGAAGAAAAGCCTCAGGTGCCATACAGGGATTGTCACCTAATTCACCTCCTTCTCAACCTGGACAGTGCACACTCCACCAAGAAACAAAATTACAGTGTTCTTAGCACTCAGAGGGTAGGTAGGGCAAGGCTGCTGTTTCCAGCAGTCAGAGAATTGAAAACAGGAAAAAGACAAAGAGAGCTAAAAAGAGGCCGGGAGAAGGAAGCTAAGTAGAAAAGAAGAGAAAAAGTATTATACAAGGGGCAAGAAGAGAGCTTTCTGGCAGCTGCTGATGGTTCCTTGTGGTAGGATTCCTCCCTTTGCTAAATTTGGTGCTCACTGTATTTGTCTGCTTGGAGGACAGGCTGGGGAAGGGTAACAGAAGGGAACCCAGGGGACAGAAGTAACGTGTCCGAAACTCCTTTGCTTTGCTTTTTGTAGCTTTTACCTTCATGCTTTGATCTGGAGCTCTCTCTAATGGGGCACACATAGATTTCTGATTTGGAGTGGGGAAAATGTTAATTTGTATAGTACGACACATTCCAAAGAAAATACAAATCTATTTTGTTTAAATACCTCCTCTTCCATGAGAGAGTACTATATTGGGTTGCTCTGTAATTCATGTAGCCTGTCTACCTGCTTTTCATTCTTAATACTGGTTGGTGTGCGGAGAATTGGTTTCCTGCTTCAAGTAGGAATACTTTATCTCCTGTAGGGGGCAGAGTCTCAAAAGAAAAAGGAAAAATAAAAACTTAAGGAAACCTCTGTTTTTTAAATTACTTGGGAGGCTGTTCATTATATCACAGATTATTATAGCAGATGGAATTTTAAAAGTTGATCTGTATTTCTCACAAACAGTTAATTTTATAGCTGCTTCTGCCTTTTGTACCTGTGTCGTCTAACTTTGCATCCTTATAAAAACACACATGCAGTGAAAAAGCTGGTTGGATACCACATTTACCTGCCAAAAATGCCCAAAGTTCCAGTACATTGTTTTTTGGTGAATTTGAGCTTTATGTCTTATTTTAAGGAGAAGCTAATTCACAGTGTTTCATGGCTTTAGCAGTATGGCTCTTTATAAGTTTTTATGTCTACTTAGTTCACCTTTTTAAAAAATATTTTGGATGAGTAGACTTTAAAAGTAGAAGATTGGGGCCGGGGATTTAGCTCAGTGGTGAGTAGATTACACTGAGTAGCTTCTTGTTATGATATCATTTAGTTGCTATTCAGAGGAACCATGAATGTTGGCTTTTAAATCTGTAAAATACTACAATTGGCTTTAATTCACTAAATTCTTTCTGTAAGTGAAGGATTTTCTATATCCTACTTTAAAATTTAGAGTCCTTGCAGAGAAAATAGAACATAACCATCCAAAAATGCCTGAGGTATGGTTTGGAAAATATATGCCAATACTTAACTGCGTATTTCTTATTATGTGCTTGGACTTTTGATAGTTATATTTGATTATGTGTGTTTGCTCCATCACTTGCTCTCCAGTTTCATAGCTGCTCATCCTTAGGAAGTTCCAACCATTGTCTTGCTGTTCCTAAAACTTAACTGTGGTCATGCCTGCCTCCAAGGGTCTTACACTTGCTAGCCCTACTTCCTGAAATGTGAAACTTAACCTTTTCCAGTTTTTGTCATTTATTGTTTGCCCAGAAACTTGCACACACTTAGACACATAAGTTAGTGCTGTAGAAAAGCAGACGTGGTCTCTGCCCTCGTGAAACTTGCAGTCTACTAGGGAAGACAAGTTGTTTAATGAAATAATCCCATCAATGACTGTCAAATGGCAACTGAGTCAGAAGTGAGGCCAACACACCACACTAGAGAAGTGTCGGAGGTGGTGTCAGGTAGAACTGTATGAAATTGCAAATCTACAATCATTTTTGATTGACAAAAAAGCAGTTGATAAGGTTGAACTTTCTATTTGACCCCTAAGTCACAGAAGGTTCTTGAGTGGAGGAGCACATGCTGGGGATGGTATTGAAGAATTGGAACTCTTAGGGTGCTAGAGCTGTTGAGGAACATGTGTAGCAGAAAGTGAAGCGTGCTTCTTTAGTGAAATTACTGGTTGGAATTAAAAATTATGTTTGGCAAACCCAGGCATGGTGGTGCATGCCTATAATTCCAGCCCTTGGGAGCCTGAGGCAGGGTGATGCTGTGAGTTCCAGGCCAGCCTGGGCTACATAATAAGTTCAAGGCCAGCACTCAATAGACTACATAGCAAGACCCTGTCTCAAAAAAACCAAAAAAAACCCTGAAAAAATAGGTTTGGCAGTGGGGATTGATGTTAAAATATTAATGCTAAAACAAATAATTATCAGCTTATTAAAATATTTCTGAAATATGTGCCTGTAGGTTTCTAAACTGGATTATTCATAAATGCTGTATAAATTAGATTAAAAGACAGCAACTTATGTTCAAAGTTAGTGCCTACCTATTCACACTCAATAGATACGTGGTTTTCTTGGCACTAACACACACAGATGTTTTTCCTGTAATTTCCCAGCAATCAAGAAACCTAGCAATTGAGTGCCGTAATCACAGGGCCCCAGGAATTGTTTATAGGTGTGACAAGATGCTGCGCTCACCTTTTAAAGTGTTTCTTGTGTGACTGTTTTGTAATCTGGGTGTAAAATTGGATGGCCTGCTGTGGGGCAGTGTACCTGATTCTGAACTGAAGTCAAACATGCTAAGGGAGAAAACAGGGAGCCGGAGGGGATTCCTCCACCATTTTCACACTGTCAGTTTTTCCGGTTTTACTCCTTTGGCTGCTGTTTAACCTCTTGGGACTGCTGTTGGTAATTACATCTCTCTGGCCTTAAGAGCTTTTTGCTTTCCTTTTTCTTCCCCTCCAGTGATGGGGAGGGGTAAGCCCGAAGGGGGGAAAAGTTTTGCTGTGAATTCTTCAGCCATTTAGTGCAAATTCCTGTAATTACTGGCATTGTGTCTTCTCTGAATGGCACATAATACAGCAGAAGCCATTCCTAATTGAGACCTTACAGGAGGTACAAATCCCCTCTTTGTTCAGCCTGACAAATTAGTGCCAGAAAGTGGCAGGGTCCGAGGGGGAATCAAAGGCAAGAAATACAAAGATGGAACTTAAGGCTACAGTAATAACCCTCTCTTGTCCTGAAGGGAAAAAAGTAATGACCAATGAAAAATGAAGGTTTTTTTTGTTATAAATTCCCTTGACATGACAGCACCTCAGGGCTGCTCTATTTATTTAGTAAAAGTGATTAAATAGTAATACAACAGGGCGGCCCATTGTTTCCTTGGGCACCCCCACCTCACAGGCCCCTTCTGTTGGGGCTAATTGATTGACAACGAACCTCTGATAAAGAAGTATGTTGTTAGGACCTGGGATGGGGGGAGCATCCCACCCCCTTGGGTTGGCTGAGTGTGTGTGTGTTTCATTTTTGTTTGATTTGCACTCTGGTTTTTCTTTGCCCCACCCTA